CAATTTATGAAAATTTTTCAAAATTTGGAGATAGTTTATTCAATTTCATGTGGTTTTCATGCAAGATTTACTAACAATTTTTTTAAGGAATTGAAAAACAGAATTATATCAACTTACGTTTTAATTAAAAGAACAAATTCTGTTAAATAATTATTATTAAATTAATATCAACATGTTGAAGCTACATGTAGTAAGATATAATTTTACAATATATGGTTCAAGTACTTATGGAGGAACAGTTACTTTAGCGAATTCTTATATCAAATACATGAATAAATAAAATAGCAAGTATCTACAAATAATAAATAAATAAGGCTGTAAGATCACAAGTCTCAGTATGATCACATGTTGCATAATTATTTTTTGTTTCTTTAGCTTTACAATGTTAATATCTAGAATATTATGTACGAGTCATTCTTAAAGGAATTTACTATCTCAATAAGTATTAAGATATTTTTTTTTTTTACTGAACAATAAAAAATTTGAAAAATTGTACATATTAATTGCGTAACAGTCTTCGTCGAATAAGTATCAATTTAAAATTCAAAAATTACTGAAACATTACAGCCGTAACATTAATTCTAATCTAATAATTATAAAAAATTCAATTTGTATGAACTTATTTTATATAACGAATAATTTGCCCAACGTTTTACATGAAAATATATCACTGTTAGGATAATAAATATTATTAGAATTTATTGGAATAATGATAACATATAACAAATTAAACAATTGTGAGAATACTTAAATTTATAATTAAATATAATAATTTAAACACAATTGCAATTAATTAATTATAAAAATTTGCATGATATTCATTTATATACATATATCATTTTTATAACAATTATGTATATAATTTTAAACATGTTATGTTATTGTTATTATAATTTTTTCATGTGAGTTTATACAACGAATAGGGGTTAAACAAATGTTTTTGAAATTTGAACTTATTGTTGAATGTATTTTTAAGATATATTCATAAACATTTTCATGTAAATTATGAAAGAATTATTCAACTAGCTGACTGCTTTCTAAATCTTCCAAATTGTTGAAGGTAATTCTTCAATTTCTTTCTTAATAAACATTAGTTTTGTTAGAACGGTATATTAAATACAAATCAAGTATTTGAATTTCATAAAATGTACTAAAATAATTTATTGAGCTAATCATAAACATGTAGAATATTTCTAAAAAAAAAAAATTAATAATAGCATTAATTTATTTCTCTTATAGTAATTTATTAATATTGTAATTCTAGTGTCACATGAATTCACTGCAATAGTCGTTTAAATGAAAAGTAAAAATTAATTTAAGAGTAGATTGTAATATTCAAGTTGTTGCATTATCTAATAACAATAAAAACATTGTATTAATATGTCACAAAAAGATAACAAAAGATTTACGATTTATCATTCTTTGACTTCCCTGATTGAGACTAAAATATTGTACTTATGTATGTTCATACTAGCTCCTGACTTACATATATCTCCGGTTGCCTTGGTCGCGGTCAAGGCTTCTCTACTCGAAGCTACTGATAGTAAAAGTCGGGAGACTAATAC